ATTTCTATTTATTTTTTAAGTTTTTTGGTCCTCTTTTTCTCTTTTCCCTTCTTTTGTGTTACATAAACACTTCTATTTTTAACCTTTTAAATTTTATTGTGAACTCTTATTAATCAGTTTTAAGTATATAATGCATTATTATTGATTAACGTTACATTGCTGTTGGTTTATTCCCACTAAGTTTGTTGGTACAATTTAGGTATACAATACAGCTACACTCATCATTGGGATCTTATACCTTTATATGACATATCTTGGTTCTCATTTTTTCCCTATTTCCCTGTCCTCTCTTCACCCCCTCTACCCTTCCCTATTTACTGTCTTTGTTTCCATGTTTTTCCTTCTCTCCTATTTTTTTCTTTTCCCTTCTTACCTTTCCCCTACCCCTCCCACTTCCCCTACTCCTTTAATAATTTTCTTCCTATTGCACATTATCAATCATGCATTTTGATCCTTATTTATACTTTGATATTTTCACACCAGAGAAACTATTTGGTATTTACATATGTGTGTACTGTTAATTTCACTTAAGAGTGTGGCCTTGATGTGCATCCACTTTTTGGAGAATGACCCACGTGCAGCTGAAAAGAATGTATATTCTGATTTTGTGGGGTGGAACACTCCATAGATGTCTATTAAGTCCATTTGTTCAAAAGCTTGGTTCAGGTTCTAGCATTTCATTGTTCATATTTTGATGAGATGAACTGTCTATTTAAGACAGTGGGGTATTGAGGTCCCCCACTACAATTGTATTAGTGCTTATTTGATGTTTCATGTGCCTTAATATTTGTTTTGTATAGTTGGGGACATTAATATTTGGCACATATATTTATGATTGTCATCTCTTCCTCTTGGATTGTTCCCTTTACAAGGATGTAGTGATTTTCTTTGTCTCTCTTAATTAGTTTTGGTGTGAAATTTACTTTGTCTGCAAATAAGACAGCTACCCCTGCTTTTTTCTGGATTCCTGTCACATGGAGACTGTTTTCCATCCTTTTACTTTCAGTCTATGAGTTTCTACAGGTACATTGTTGTACAACAAATCTTACTTCTGGCTTATACCTACTGATCAATAACTCTTTATTTTCCCCAACCTTTGTGCCATTTCAATCTGACTGTCTTAGATTCCGCATATAAGTCAAATCATGTATCCGGCTTGTTGTAGGCAGCATAGTCTTCAAAGCCCAAAGCCCATTCATGTTTAGGCATATTGCAAAATTCCTTTTTATAAAATACATATATATATTTTTTTTAAACATCTAACAGATTGTGCTCTGGATGTTTGCAGCATTCTTCTCATTGAATCCTGGGTGTCACAGGCACAGGGGCTCCAGGGTCAGAGCTGTTGGCTGCCTGGGCTATACCCCCTCCCTGAGGCCAGCACCAGCCTCGCGAAGGAATCTGTCCACAGTTCGGTCCTCTAAGCAGTGAAATTCCAGTCAGGGTCCCAGGGGTCCTGTGCAGCTTGGGGCTGGGCCCCGGACTTGATCACAGCACCATGGGCCCCTCCCCTCCGGGGCCTCTCTCTGTCTTGACTCCACAGTGCTCCCTGGTCATAAGGCTCCTAGACTCCTCTTTGCAGCTCTCTGGTCAGAGGACTGGGAATCCCTTCACCCACTGTGCAGCACAGTTGCCCGGACTCCGGTACCTCCATAGCCGGGGCACAGGGACACAGAGGAAAGCATGGTCAGAAGCCAGAGCTAAAGGTTGTCCACATCTTCCCTGTTATCCTGAGGTCCACGCATGGGGCTTAAGTGTTAACATTAATTCAGGGATACTGGAGGGAAATCGAATTGCAAGACATGTAATTTTTATCTTTTCCAGTCTTCCTAATTCTGATTACTTTTTTCCGTTCTCAAACTGATTGTCTCTGCATCCCCACCCCCACCCCGGAGGGTTTTATAGCTGTAAGAAGGAGCCTCAGGGTGGGGCTTGTCTGTGCCATCTTACCTGGGTGACAGCCCAGAGGTAAGACAGACAATGGATACCAGTCTTCAATCCAACAGCAACCAGGAAGGCTGTGAAAGCTGCCCGAGATACCACACAGGCTCTGAAAGGAGAGGCTGCCATCCTGGAGGCAGGATGTTCATCTTCCAAATGAAAACACATTTTCAGAGTGAAAGAGAGTGCTTGGATAACAGGTATAAACCAGGGCTGGAACGTGTGCCACCTTAAACTCAGAAGACGCTCTGGAAAATAACACTCTTCTAATTGTGCTCACAGGATCCATCTGTGAGCGTATGGTCCCATATTCCTAGACAATTTGGTTGATCTCCATGTAGAAAATATAAATGACTCTTGTCCTCCATGCCAGTCTGTCACCTGCTGTGCACCTACAAACCTGGACAGAGGCATCCTACCCATGTCGGTGCTTGTTAGTCTTCCTGTGTGTGCACAGCCTGAAGCTCTCTCTGGATGCCAAGGATGGAGCCTCAGACCCCCAGCAGCTCTAAGACTTCAGGGTCCTCTAGTAGTCAGGAGCTTCCTGAGCCTAAGATCGCTGGGAGATGCTGGCAGGGAAGCCAGGGTCCTCGCTATGGCCAAGACACAGTGGCCTGACAATGTGGCTGCTCCCCAGAGACCTGCAATGATCCTGTCCAGAAACTTCCTCCAGGACTAATTTATACTCTTCAGCTCCTCTTTAACCTTTGCACTGAAATTTCCAACAAGGATGTCTCTTCGTGCCAAAGCCTCAGTGGTCTGTATGATGTGGGTGCCTCCCTCTGAGAAGAAAGATCACACGGGCACCGTGCAGCCACATGACAATGCCTCCCCCAGTCTGAGCTTGGGTCATGTTCAGACCACGACATGAGACACATTCCACGAGTCAGCTCAGTGCTGCTTCCCTTCACTGCCCAGCTGGGGAGCCCTCCTGTCCCATTCCATCCCGGCCCACCCCAGCCCATGAGGGAAGGCAGCGTGGGAAGGTCAGCCCCAAGTAGGAGCACAGCACTCTTCATGCTGCAGGCTGAACTCTCCCAAGGAGAGAGGATGCAGGAATGAAGTCTCCTCGTCTATTGGGAACGACTTGGTCTCCTGTGCAGCGCCTCATTACTTAGAAGGACTGAGCCTGAGACCACGAGACTGGAATACACACGGGGGCCAGGCAGAGGGCTCAGACCACAGCCTCTCCCATCTTCCAGCTCCATTCCAGCTGCCTCTTCACTGCTGGGTCCCCATGTTTCCCAGACACAGCTGGCCTGCTCAGTCTCCCCACTGCCTCTCCAGCACGTGGAAATGGCCAGTCCAGTCCCGTCTCTGCACTGGACTAACTACTGCTGGTCTCTTCATCCAGTGGCCAAAAGCAAGATAGTGCACTGAGGCTCTGCATAAAGGCCGTGGAGACGAGAGGAGCTGAGCCCAGCCCTGCCTGCTCTCCAGCTGATATCCTGGCGCAGACCACACCAGCCCCAGTGCCCAGGAACAGGCTCCATACCCACCTGTGCCCCCAATTTACAATGGCTTCACGTAAGCATTTTCTTTACTGCATTGCGGAAGTGACACCCACTGAGTAAAACTCATACTTGTGCCTGAGTGTGGCTCTTCCCCAAGCTACTGAGACGGTGTGACCCTGTCTTGAGAGGCTGCGCCTGGCAGTGGGCACAGCTCTGTAGTGGGGCTAACGCTCTGTAGTGTACTGGGTGTGCAGCCAGGACATGCAGTGGGCAAAGTGCACTGTACGTGCTTTGCTTTTCTGACTTTCTCAATGAGCACTGGGTTCTAGGAACGTCACCCATCACGGATCTCAACACACCTGCAGCTCTGGTCCCAGGGTGGCCACTGCCCACAAAGACACAGCAGAGACTGACCACAGCCCTGTCTCCACCTCTTGTCCTTCTTTCTGTGCCCCTGTTTAGACTGGTGAACACAACTCAGGACATAGAAAGTGGGAATGTATGTAGAATGGGAGTAGCTGGGTCAAACAGGGTTTCTAGTTATAGTTTTTTGAGGAATTTCCATAATTATTTCCATAGTGGTGATACTAGTTGTCACTCCCACCAACAACATAGAAGAGTTCCTTTATCTCAAAGGCTTGCAAGCATTTATTACATACCATTTCTTGTTGGTGGCCATTCTTCCTGAGTAAGATGGAATCTTATTATAGTGACCCATGCACACCCATGTTTATAGCAGCACAACTCATAACAGCTAAATCTTGGAACCAGCCTATGTGTCCATCAGCAGATGAATGGATAAACAGAATGTGGTATTTATACACTGTGGAGCACCACTCTACCATAAAGAAGGATAAAGTTGAGTTATTTGTAGGAAAATGGATACACCCTAAGACCATAATGTTAAGTGACAGAAATCAGACACACAGGCTTAAATATCGCATGGCTTCTTTTATGTGAGAAGCCAAAGTATAAATAAATAGAAAAATAAAAGATCATAGGAAGTAGGGTGATAGAACTTTCTCAAATGGGCATGGGAACCAGGAGATGCGGGGGTTGCTAAAAAATAATGAAGATGTGCTGTGTATATACTCTCCTGGCTCTTCCACGCAAGGAATGTAAACATCGCGTCCTGCAGACTTGCACTAACAAAAGTTTACATAACGTAAAGCTTTGAGCACCCCTCGCGTCTGATAGAGCAGCATTCATGTGACCGCCAAAGGGCACAGCCCTGCACACACAGCACACGGTCACACGAGGCTCCACGGCCAAGGCAGGAGCCGGAGTCCATGCCAACTTAGCCCAGGCTCCTTGCACAGCCTTGGGGTGCAGTGCACTGAACACGTGGAGCAGTTCGGAGAGTCACTCTCCCCCGCCTGGTCCAGGAAATCAGCAGCTCTTGTTGGCAGCTTCAGGGTCGTTGCAGGGTGGTGGCAGGAAGCAGACTCTGTTTGCCATGAGCCCCCCTCATGCAGTGCATTTCCCCCAGGGCAGAGAGGGGGGCTTCTGGCTGCCTTGTTCCCAAGGCTGGGGCTCCTCCCAGCAGTTCTGATCCACTGAGTCCCTTCAGGAGAGAAACCCCTCTGGATGGTTCCACAAGAGCCATCATGAGCCCTTCACAGGCATGTGGTAGCGCACCTGGGTCCAGAACCTCGAATTGGGGTGAACTGATTTTAAGCCTTTCCAGGTGATGGTTGGCAAAACCCTGAGAGCCTTTTTCACAAGATAAGGTAGAGATTCTGGCTCTTGGAAGGAACAGAACTTAATTAAGATGAGTTTCAGCATTTGGTCATTCAAGGCCAGATTCACTGCTGCTTGAAGTTCAAAGACTCGGGGGCCATTGATGTAGCTGGGGCTCAAGATGAATATTCCTCTTCTACTTTTCTTAATGATGTTCACAATGTCTTCTGTATACACTGGGGATAAAAATAATAATGATGATTTATGATCGGGATGGTTAAACCTCAAGTCACAATAAGCTTGACTCTCCCAGGTGTAGCCAGGACCCCTGTAATGGAGGCCCCTAAGTACAGATGAAAGGAGGTCTGGGAGCGGATATCCATGCCCCCAGTTCCTCCTTTCTCTCTCTCTGCCTCCTGGCTCTGTCACTTTCACCACGTCAACTCTAGAAAACTGCTGAAGATCCCTGTCTGTCTCTAGTGATTCTCATTTGATCAGCCTCCTCTTATATTCTGTATTCCTAAATTGTTGATTTCTCTAGGAGCCAAGCTCACTGGAATTTAGCAGTCTGGACCTCTAGGATCATGGGTGCCCAGGTGCTCTGATGATGGAGAGGAGATCAAGAGACAGACAGTGCCAGGAAGTGACACGGGCGGCTCCTGCCGAGGAGCCTGCTTGGCTCAGTGTTGAGGTTTATGGACGGCAGTGTTCTAGACACCAGGAGGGCCACCCCTATGGGATGACAGAGACGACTCCCTACTCAGAGTCTAGGAAAGACATCTTTGTTCCAAACAGCCTCCTAGAGGGCTGTATTGTTTTCATTTTTTGTGTGTTTTCTTTTCTTCTGAAAGTTGATTTTTTGATGAAGGAGCCCATCTCTTGGTCAAGCTTTTCTATGATCTGGGCTCAGGTGAGCATCCATAAGCTATGGCAGGACAAACTCAGCACTGGCACTGAGTCCACACTGGACTCTGGGACGCTAGCACTGCCCTTTGTCACACTGGAATTATTCCTGGGCACCACGACCTACCTCCCCCAGGGGCTACATCTCTCTCAAGCAAACATAAGGTGAATCCATGTTTGTTTTCCAAGACTTCGGGAAACAGACTCAGGGCCAAGTGATCCTCACTGAGAGGTGAAGGTTCCTCACTCCCCAGAGAGCTCCATTTTGCACAGGACACGAAAGCATCAAATTCCTTTTTATCTAAGGGAGAAGAAGAATGCAAAACGTCAGCCATTGACAGGTTTTCCTCAGCCACAGATCACATACAGATACCTGAAGCATATGGAATGAATCTCTCCTCCTCTAAGTTTCAGGTGCTGGGTATTTGGTCCCAGCATCAGGGAAGAGACCAAACACAAACTGGCAGAGGCAGAAGATTCCAGGAATTAGCTCACAGGTGGTGTAAAACAGTATTGTCACAAAGCAGCTGGGCCTGGCGCTCCCAGACATGCACCTGCTCTGCGAGGACCCATGGGGCCAGAAGGGCAGGCACCAAGGCACCCAGGGCCTGGAGCTGTGTGTGCAGCCAAGCCTCACAGCTGAAAGTGAGGAGTGGCTTCTGGCCAGTCTGCAAACATCTAAGGCACCATGGTCAGTCCCATTCCTTCCATCTCTGTTAAATACCTATCACACTAGCATTTTTACATCATCTGGGAATTAAACCACTTGAGTGCTCTGCAATTCTAACATACCGTGTCTCTCCAAATTAATATTGGATACTCAACATTACTGCAAAGCTTTCATTTTGCTGCATACCTCATGTCAGCCAGCAGGGGGCGCTGCTGCATTACGCATGAGAACCTAGTTCAGCCTCCAGATCTGATTGCTAAAATACGTGCTTTCAATGTAGAGTATCATATCATCAGCAAATAATGACAGTTTAACTTCTTCCTTTCCTATCTTTATTCCTTTAATTTCTTTCTCTTGTCTAATTGCTGTGGCTAATATTTCCAGAACTATATTGAAGAGAAGTGGTGATAATGGGCATCCTTGTCTTGTTCCTGATTTTAACATGAAGGTTTTCAGTTTTTGACCATTCAATATGATGTTGGCTGATGGTTTTTCATAGATAGCCTTTATCAAATTGAGGTATAGACCATCTATTCCAATTTTTTGCAGGGTTTTTATCATGAATGGGTGTTGAATTTTATCAAATGCTTTTTCTGCATCTATTGAGAGGATCATATGGTTTTTGTCCTTGACTTTGTTAATATAATGTATTACATTTATTGACTTTCGTATGCTGAACCACCCTTGCATCTCTGGAATAAATCCGACTTGGTCAGGATGTATGATCTTCTTAATAATCCTCTGTATTCTGTTTGCTAGTATCTTATTAAGGATTTTTGCACCTATATTCATTAAGGAGATTGGTCTGTAGTTCTCCTTTTTAGTTGTATCTTTCCTTGGTTTGGGAATCAAAGTGATACTTGCTTCCAGGAATGAATTTGGAAGTATAGCTTCCCTTTTGACTTCATTGAAAAGTTTGAAGAGTAATGGTAGTAGTTCTTCTCTAAATGTCTTGTAAAATTCAGCAGTGAATCCGTCAGGGCCTGGGCTTTTCTTTGTTGGTAAGTTTTTAATTACATTTTCAATTTTACTGATTGTGATTAGGGTGCTTAAAATGTTTTTATCTTCTTCGTTCAACTTTGGTAATTCATAAATATCTAGAAATCTGTCCATTTCTTCTGTGTTTTCCATTTTATTAGGGTACAGGTTCTCAAAGTAGGTGTTCATGATCCTCTGGATTTCTTTTGGATCTGTTGTGACTTTGCCTTTTTCATTCCTGATTGCATGGATTTGAGCCTTTTCCTTTTTTGATAGGATTAGCTAAGGGTTTGTCGATTTTATTTATTCTTTCAAAAAACCAGCTCTTTGTTTCATTTATTTTTTGTATCATTTTCTTAGTTTCAATTGCACTGATTTCTGCTCGGATCATTGTAATTTCCTCTCTTGTTCGAGCTTTGGTTTTTTCTTGCTCTTGTTTTTCTAGGAGTCTAAGTTTCATCATTAAGTTGTTTATTTGAGCCCGCTCTGTTTTCCTAGTGTGGGCATTCAATGTTATGAATTTTCCACGTAGAACTGCTTTCATTGTGTCCCAAAGATTCCTGTATGTTGTACTGGCATTCTCATTTATTTGTAAAAACTGTCTAATTTCTTCTTTAATTTCCTCTGTAATCCATTGATTGTTTAGGAGAGTGTTGTTCAGTTTCCATGTGCTTGTGAAGTTTCTATAGTTTCTTGTGCTATTGATGTCCAGTTTGATTGCACTATGATCTGATAATATACAGGGGATGACTTTAATTTTTTTGCATTTATTTAGACCTGTTCTGTGAGCCAGTATGTGGTCTATCTTGGAGAATGATCCATATGCAGCCAAAAAGAATGTATATTCTGATTTTGGGGGGTGGAATACTCTATAAACATCTATTAAGTCCATGTGTTCCAAAGCTTGGTTCAGTTCTATTATTTCATTGTTGATTTTCTGGAAATCAATATGGAGATACCTCAAAGAGCTTGGACTAGAGGTTCCATTTGACCCAGCCATCCCTCTGCTGGGTATCTTTCCAAGAGAACTAAAAGAATCATAACACAGAGAAGTATGTACACCCATGTTTATAGCGGCACAGTTTGTAATAGCTAAATCTTGGAAACAGCCCATTTGCCCATCCGTTGGAAAATGGATAAAGAAGATGTGGTTTTTCTATAAAATGGAATATTACTCAGCCATAAAGAACGAGAAAATAGATTCATTCATAGGAAAATGGATACATATTGAAGATATACTCCTAAGTGAAATAAATAAGGCACACATGTGTAAATACCGAATAGTTTCCCTGGTGTGAACAATCTGCAACAATGCATAAGATTCTAATAAGATTACTGAAATTTAGATATGGGAAGAAAGGAGCTAAAGGTGTAGGGAAGGTGGGATGGGTAGAGGAAGAGTAAAAAGGGAAAAGAAAAAAATGTGAGAGAATGAAAAGATGAAAATAAAGTGTTTGTAGATGGGGAGGGGAAGAGGGGGTGAAGGGAGGGCAGAGGTAAGGGGAAAAAATGAGAATCAAGACTTGTCATGTAGAGGTACAAGATCCCAACAATGAATGTCACTGTACTGTATCCCTAAAATGTACCAATAAACTCAATTAAAGCTGAAAAAAAAAACTACATGCTATGAGAATCAAGACCTATTATGTAGAGGTACAGGATCCCAATAATGAATGTAACTGTATTGTATACCTAGATTGTACCAATAAACTCAATTTTTAAAAAAAAAAATAAAATAAAATATGTGCTTTCGCTACTGTGAACAGGACCAAAAACCCTGTGAGGTGCAGGGTTAAAAAGAATGAAGATGTGTTATGTACATGTGCCAACTCCCCACTAGGAATTTAATCGCGAACTGCAAATACGTACTCAAAAAATTTTTTTTAATGTAAAAGAATTTAGGCAGCTAAATGTCAGAATTTGAAGGGAAGATCATTGTGGATTCTTCGGCATAATCCATTCCCCTGTGCTTCCTGTTTCCATTTGTCTGCTAACAAAAACTTTCTGAGAGAAAAAAATAAGAGTTTCTCACATGGTAAAAAGAAAAAAGGTACATTTAAATGCTTCACCATTAACTGATGACGCTTTATAATCTGGAAATGAATGACATCTCAGAAAAAGAAGTATGAAGCAACCTAGGAAAGCAACGAAGACCAGTTAGATAAAAAGCTTCATGTAAAAAACGCCAACTATCTTTTTAAAAATCAATATCAAAATTCCTCGTGGCTTGCAGATTTCTAGGACTTGATCTCAATAGTTGGTCTATGACAAGACATGACTGGTTCATTTCTTTTGTTGTGTTGTTAGTGTGTTTGGCCTGCTTTTTGGTTGTGGGGTAGGGGTTCTTTGATTGTTCTGATGCTGGGGATTGGACGTAGGGCCTGACACATTTCTTGGTCTTTCCTCAGTGTTTTGTTTTCTCCAAAGAACAAAACTACACACTAAAATTGCAAATATTCTGCCCTGGGAATCCCAGGACAAAGAAAAACAAACAAATGAACAAACGCCGCTCTTCTACTCTAAAGAAGCCCACATTAATGAGTATGATTCCCCCCTTGTCTCCAAACTGACAGATGCTCACTAATAGTGACGTTGCATTTTGTTGACCTTCCTTCCACTTTCTGAGATGTGCCCACTGTCTCACATGACCCCCGCTCTAGAGTCCAGCTCTGACATCCCCCAGGCTTCAATTCTAGGCATATAACTGTCTTTCTCTGCTTAGCAGTTCGGGCGTTCATGACAATTACAGTATCTAATGCACATAACAGGCCTGGCGTCCTCCAGAAATGATCACGGCTGGCACCCTCTGAGTTGGCCCACATGCAAAGACACCACCCTGAAAGCTTAACGCTGTCTGTCCCAGTGGGCTTTCAGCCCGTCTTGGGGCTGCAGTTACCCCACCCAAATTCTACACAAACGTGGCAAGGGCTGGCCTTGTTGTTTGCCATATTGCCTCAGGGTGGTGCAGGACGATTATGTTTAAGTCCTACCAGTCCCAAGATAGCATTATCTGCAAGATGGTTGGTGAATGGAATGAAACAAAGAAATATTCCTCCATCTGTCCCTGGTATGAGGCTACCACACATGGACTCCAAACCCCAGGTCTGCAACTTCCCCCATCAGGAGCAACCATTCCTGGAAACCTCCCTCAGCCTCAGCCTCGGTGGCAGGAGGCATCTGAAATTCTTTCCAAGTTAACTCCAAGAAAACCAAGGCAGTGGGCAGTGACAGCCCTGTCTCCTGCACCATTGGTGGCTCAGAGGGGAAGTCAGAGGCTGACATGTGGGTGGCCTTACCTCCGAGAGTCTCATCCTTGCCCTTGTAGGTCCGGCACAGCAGCAGGATTTCAATCCAGTAGGTGTAGATGAGGGCACCGGCAGCCAGCATGCCCACCAGCGTCGAGGCAGTGCCAAGAAGGATGTACAGGAATACCACTGCAGGGACACCATGGCCGTGAGCCTCGAAGAGGAAGCAGCAGCCCCAATCCTCTCGGGTGGCACTGTGGGCTGCCCAGCACCTCTCTCCCTATCATATCAAAATCACTGCCATTGGAAGCATTTGTCTTGGATCTCGGAACGTCTTAATCAAGTCTGCTGGGAACTGTCTACCATCAACACTAGAAAACTCAGGGGAATGGCACTTCCTGGTTGGGGTGATCTGAAATGTCTATCACAGTCACCTTATTTATTGTCATTCGTAATCTATAACTCCAACACAACCCATCTGCATCCTTCTCATTGCATATTATAAATTATTTTCACATATTCCCATCCTTACCTAATTCAAAACTCCCTGAGTCCAGGAGCCAAGTCCAGCTTACTGTGTGGCACCCTGCTCAGTTCCTGCAGCAAAGTTTCTACAAACCTCTACAGAGAGCCCATCTTCAAGAGCACCCATGAGAGGCCAGGCGCACACTCTGCCTTACTTCTGAGCCTGGCTAGCACTCATAACTGTGTGTGCTGAGGCCAGCTGTTAACTGATGAATGGATGAATGTTGCCAGCTCATCTCTGGATGCCTTCATAAAGACACTTAAAAGCTATTCTTTGCTTGGAGTTTCTACTCTGGCTTTTTACAAGGCTTAGAGCTGTGCTGTGTGTGCATCATTGAACAAGAGGACTCCTTCCTTCCTCCATTCTCCATCCATGGAAACATGGAACCACAATGCTGCCTCACAGCCAGGAGGCAAAGAGCAAAGGCAGCTGAGTCCTAGCACAAGGTCGGCCATGTAGGGGTAAGTGTGTGGATGGAGGAGAGAGGGACTGAACGGCAGGCTTTCCCTACAGCATTCGTTAAGAGGGCCAGGTCCAAATCACCACTTCACTAGAGCAACTAAGTTCACTCTATGGCATTGGACAGGGTATACATGGGTTAACACAGCAGAGTGCTTGAGGAGAGTCCAGCACCTAGAAAACCTCCCATGCTGTCTTCATCACCCGCCCTACTCAGCAAAGGGTGTGTATTCTTCAGTGCTCACCCCCAGCTCACCTCCTCCTTGTTTCTCCTTCAGCCGGATGGTCTGGGTTGTGTTCCCAATGGAGTTCTGGGCAAAGCACACATATTTCCGCCCCAAATCACTCTGCGTGACTTCTTTCAAGAAGACAGCTCGTTCAAGGACTTCTTCCTCCAAAGTAGATTTAATACTAGGGAAGGAGGGAAAATTCCACACCAGGTCACATCAGTGGGCACCCCCCACCAGGGTCTGGAGCTCTTAGAGCAGCCAGCAGTTCAGTGTTCAGAAGAAGAGTGGGATCAATGCTGCAAGAAGAAGGTAAGGGAACCAAGATAGACAGAAGGTCGCCATCTTGCCTGACTTACTGACCACTGAGCATGAGCACTAAAGCCGACGTACTTTGGCCCCACGTTTCCCCACTCTTCACAATTCCCCTTGAGAACAGATAATAGCAATCATTTGTAAATGACTTGCTCCTGCCCAGGGTTTAGTGTACACGGGACTCTTCTGAGAACTGGAAATGAACTCTAATCTCCTCCACTCCTCTCCTCACACAAACTCTACAAAGCATGCAGACTTGGCCAGTGACGTGGACGTGTCAAGGAAGGGGGCTGAGCAGCCCCAGCTCACGCCCCTAGGAAGTGGGTCCAAGTCCCAGATCTGAATCACACGGTCCCAATCAGGGAGAAGTGAGTCTTGGCATTTATTCACAATTTGAATTCTCTAAAATTGCCTCCCACCAGTCTGCCCCCATCGAGAAACACTGCTTATGTGGGTGATGTTGTAGGCTATGCTGCTGGGAGCCTATGCGCCAGCTTTTTCCAGCGTGCTTCCTACCCGCCATGCGGGGACGAGCATGTCACCTTTACTGCAGCCTCTTGTCACAGGAACGCTGCAGAGTGGAGTGTTGTTATCTGCAGGCTGGAGTTGGACTGAAGGAGCCCCGTTCACATACCCTGCCTCCTTGAACTCTCAGGCAGTCTCCCCTCCAGATGGGACCCAGCGACTTCCCAGATGGAAGAAATCCTCGCTGCATGTTATTGTTCTTATCAAAACCTTTTCTTCACTTTTTGTGATAATGCATACTTTTCAAAATTATATCACACACGTTCACTGAAATGTTTTAAAACTTAGAATGCATTTATTTACCGCATAGATCCCTGCTTTGATTCAGATCTTGGGTAAATGCAGGGATGCGTCCTCTAGTGGCTTTCCCAATGACCTGAGTGGATCCAAGCCTGCTGTCCCTTCAGAGAACAGCTGACAAGCGTGGGGTTCAGATGGCTCTCAGTGCCAGGGCTCCCCACTTTCCACTGGATAAACTCTCCCCCCAGTAAATTTCACACACTGATCTAGGTTTTATCCTACCGACCGCAATAAGCTAAGTCTACTTTCTCATAGGAGAACCCCCGCCTATCTCAAGACAGACCGCTCACCCCTCAGCTTTCTCCGCCAGCCAAAACGGCTGCTACTGTTGTTCGATTTTCTTCAGACTCTGAATTAGGGCGCTGGTTCCCCGGAAACTGTCCAGACTGCTCATGGTTCTGCAAGTGTGGGACCCAGGGCCCCCAACACATGGAATGCAGGGCAATGCTGAAACCAGGAACTGGGGCGCAATTCCCCTCCCCGCCCCTTGTTGGACATGCTACTTCTGGCAAGCAACTTGAGTCAGCATATCTGCCTGCCGGACAATTTTATTTCCTCCTTCCTTCTTTCCTTTCTCTTTGTTTTGTTTTCTTTCCTTTCCTTGTTTTTGAATCACAGCCTGGCTGTGTATTTCAGTCTGGCCTGGAACTCATTACATAGCCCAAGGTGGCCTAAGACTTGCAGCGATCCTCCTGCCTCAGCCTTCTGAGTGCCGAAATTAAAGATGTGCCCCACTACACCCAGCCAGGGTAGCTTGTTTTTCAAAGCAGCCACTTCAAACTGTTGCTCCAAAGCAAGTTTTAAAACCATTTTCAGAATGGGGTGCAGCTCAGTGGTAGAGCTTAGCACCCTGGATGGTCTTGGATTTGACCTTTAGCACCAAAAGTAACCAAACCCAAACAGAAACAAAAGAATGCTTTCACAGCCATTCATGGCTTGGTGACATGTTCCAAGCTGATTTCATCATGGAAATATCAGAGTGCACTTAACAAGAGCTGAGATAGCGCCGTCACCAGAAACTGTGTGGCTCCCAGACTTAATATTAACATATACATCGCAATTCTGTGTTTTATTTTCATCACTGGCTGGTGCCAGTGCCTAACTCATTAAATATAATCAAATATATGTATATTTTGATGATTTCTAAAGGTGAGAACATCTAGTCTTTGTTGCCAAGACCAAAGTTCATTAATTTCTTTTCTTACCTTTTTTCCTGAAACACTGGGAATTCCCACTCCCGGTCAGTGTCTTGGACATACCACCTTATCACAGGGTTAAAGTCCCTCTGGAAGCCAAATCTCACTGTGCAGAGAAGAGTTAAAGGTTTTCCTGAAAATGAAGAGGTCAGAGAAGACAGGAGAGAAGCACATGAGAACATGTGGTCTCAGACTAGGGGAAAAGGTGTGGCTAGAGACAGATTCCAGCATGGCCGGGTCTGCAGGTGACACCGAAATAACTAAGCCTTGACACACCTCACTCACAAACCCAGAGCCTAGGTGTTTGTCACTTGTGGGCAAGTCTGTGTCTCAGACATGTGACTGCATGTTTTTAGCACGAAGACCAGCATGAGTGTATCCCAAGGCTCCCGATGTGGCAGAGGTGGGCACCAGGAAAGTGGGGCATTTCAGGGACCGGCCAGGTCTTCACCACCACTGTAGAAGCACAAGGTGCACAGGGAACATTTCACTAGACAGTGTTTGTGTGTTGAATAAAATCACAAGTTTACTGTAGTGTGTAATAAAGAAATCCCGTAGGCACTCGGTGTTTTTATGATCAGGCCACCCCAGGTGTGTTCTCAGACTGCCCTCCCTCAACCCTTCTCTGCAAGGCTCCCCCAGACATGCTCTGCCTCAAGCTATCCCAACCACACAATGGCTCCAGACACCATTTGAGGACTCATTTCTGCACCTCAAACTTCTCTCAAATTCACTCATACTGTATGTAACTTGACTACCTATTTGAATTGAATTTTTCTTCCTTCCTCCTATTTTTTTCTATAGTTTTACTCTTTATTGGTGTATTTTTATATGCAATAGTTACATTCATTTTTGGGATTGGTGTATATCTTTATCATTTTTCAATACTTTCTCCCCCTCCTGGCCTCACCCCTTTCCCTGGTCTCCCTTTCTCATCTCCGAAAGTTTTCCTCCTTTTTAACGACCATCTCTCCTTTACTTTTCTCTTGAATTTATTTGTAGTTTGAGTTTCTCACCTAAGAGAAAGCATGCCATATTTAGCTTTCTGTGTCTGGTTTATCTCAGTATTATTGTCTAGAGATTCATCCATTTTCCTGCGAAAGATACAATTTCATTCTTTATGGCTGAATTTAACACCCCTCCGCCCCTCAAAAATTATCCAGTCCACAAAAATGAGCAAATGGACTGAGTCAGTACGGCCACCCACGCTTCAGATGTGTGCTTCATTGGGGTCATCTGGGGGATCTGTACCCTGATACTTGTTTCTATAATAATAAATTTTATGTGAGTATGTAAAAGCACTCAATTTTTTTTAAAAAAGAAAAATACCATTTGATGTTAAATAAGTACACCCATTCTTATTTGGCTACGAGGACAGACATATGTGCTAGTGAACTTGACAAATGGAAGGAGTCCACAAGGGAGTCACTTTCCCCTCTACCAAAGCGAGGACACTATTTTGGAATTTGAGTGGAGGTCATAATATTCCACTGTAGTTTCCTTTAAAAACCAGACCAAACATCACATTCACAGGGCTAAAGCTACTCAAGTTGGCAAATGTATTGACATGACCAATAAATGCAACCATGTTTTCCTTGGAAGAGTCCAAACTCTACTGATCATATTGAATGCACCAGCCACTGATCATACATCGAGTGTCGTATCAAAGCAACACTCTAGCCATTCTGGTGATGTCCATGAACAAACCTAAAGGCTGGAGCTGAGGAGACTAAGTAACTCTTCAAGGTCCCAAAGCAAGTCAGGGCTGAACAACAGCCAGTTCTGTTTTACTTGAAGGCCAACTCTCTTTTCCTTATATCACACTTAGACCAGCTCCTGGAAGGACATCATCATTCAGGGTGACAACTTGACCCAGCTTACCAAGTTCTACTTCCAGGACATCCTTGATAGGATATACAATGTCTGGTTTGAACTTAGTGTCAGCCACTAAAAGAGGAAAATAAAAATCATTATTTAGATTGAGAGATCTGAAAAGCTGCTTGCTGAAGATGATCAACACTTTGATCTAAATGTTCAATGCTGTCTCTTCAAACTCTATTCACATAAGTCTAGGAACTCAGATTTCCATGAAAAGTCCAACCTGGCTGCTGGAATCATGAGGGCACCCAGCTGTCAGGGCTGGCAAAGCATCCCATCAGCCTGGGCACTTGCTTCTCACTAGTCCTGCTCACCCATTCCCAACCAGAGGCTCTATCTTTACTTTCTATTGCAACATTATTTTTTTGGTGCCATTAGCTGAGTAACCCAACTGGAGGGAGAACCCATGTGAAAAATACCCTTCCACTTCCTGCCGTAAACTTTCAAATGTGCCTCCAGCTGCAAGCTTCCTCTTGAAGGCGTCCTATTTCTGGGCACAGGGAGAGCTGTGGTCTCTGCTCTTGACGTCACCTGGTCTTACTCCTCACAGACCTCCTTCCTCATTTCCACCACCTCTCTCATGTATCTTTAGGTGTAATTTATGTCTCATCTCATGGGCATGAGCATTTATCCACTGAGTCTGGCTTCCTATTTCAAATAGTAAAGAATTCACCTTACATTCAGCCTCATACATTTTCCCTTCCTTCCCGACAAATGCATGAAAGACTTTTATGCACTCACTTTCTCCATCCCTTCACCCTTATGGGGTCTGATTACTCCTCCATCTTTTCACTGGAACTGCTTTAGTCCGGGTCACCAGACACCCAGAACCCAAGATCCACTGGGCACCATTTGGCACCATTGTGCGGTTGGCCACACCCACTCCAACTTTCTGCTCTGGCTCCACCCCTGTCCTCTTCTGCTGCCCTTCAGCTTCCATCTTCCTCTCTGTATCCCCGGATCCTCTCCCTCTGTGCCTGTCTGAACATCAGTTTCGTCCCCAGCTCTCCCAGGGTGGCACAGTCCTGCTCCAGGCCTCTTCCCTGCACAAAGTCTTGGCTCCCAAAGCTACCACTCTTCAACACCCTCAATTTCACTTCCTCTGCCCCCTCCCTTTCATGGTACCCCTTGCCTATGGATGCCTACAGATTCCCATTCAGTCTCCTTTGGAGGTCTTTGCCACACCCCCAAGTGCTGGGAATACTCCAGGGCTCAGTTCTAGGTGCCTCTCTGTAACACTTTCGAGGTCTCCTTCAGCTGCTTGGCTTTATCACATAAAGGTGAGGATTCTCATGCTCACATCTCCAGCCCAGGGGTCTCCAGATGGGTTTAGCCAAACACCCCTTGCCCTCATGAGGTGGATAACTAAAAGTTAATTCAAGCCAATACCTAACTTCCTCCTCAAGCTTCCTTCTGCACTTATTCATTAGTGTCACCATTTACCGAATTATACATCTTTTTCTTATCTCCTGCATCAAATCCATCATGTGCCTTTGGCTCAGTCACTGTTCATTGGCTCTGCTGTGTCTATTCACAGAGCCACCCTGGCCATCTTTGAGGAACTTGAGCCCAGCCTGCTCTCCCTTCTTGTGCCAATATCAGTAGATTATAGAAAATCCACCTACTTTCCCAACTCAATGCCTCACTCTCATCCTGGCCCTCCTGTTCCCTCTTCTCCATTCCCAGACTCCATATCATTTGGGATACACTGCCTCAGTGTTTCTGGAGTCCATCTGCTTTTCTCCATCCCTGTTCCTCTCTCTTATTGGGGTGCCCACGAACAGCTGCTTACTTACTTAGCCCCTGCAACCTCCTAACTCTCCTCCCCGCCCTGGTCCTTGTTCTCAGAAACCAGTTCCTTCACAGTAAACGAAGTATCGGTCCCATCTTGAGTAAGTCTGTGCACGACACTCTTCTGCCGACACCCCTCACTGTCCTTGGATAAAATCTCATGCTCATTAGAACAGCTGATCCTTGTCTTCCTACATTGCACCTGCTCTCTTGTGTCTCCTGAACCTCAGCAAGGCCTGAAATGGCGCCCCCCAACCCATCCTCAGGCTCATTTGTCCTCATCGCCAAAGTCCTCCTGGGACTTGGCTCAGTGGGTTTGTGTCCAGTGCCTCTGACAGGCCTCTGTTCCTCCTTCTCTTGCCACACAGTAGGTACTGTGATCTCCTGCTTCTGGTCTGCCTGCCCCACAAAATGAGAAGATCCCAGAGGCCAGTGAAAGTGTCTAGGGACTCATTCTCAAATCCTTGCCTCCAAGCCTGACATGTAATAGAAGCTCAAAAAATATTTGTGTGGGAACAAAAGAAGGTAAGAATGAGTGAGTAAGTGAGGGAGACAGGGTTGGGAGCAGTACAGGCTGTCTGAGACAGATGAGGCAGACATAGCAGAGGGAGGAGAAAAATCCATTCTGTAGGAGATTGGGGAGCTGACTGGTGATTGAGGTCTTATCTTGGAGGAGAAAATGATGCAAGCATGGCATTCACATTTATATTTCTCTGCTAAGGAACAATCAGATACAAATAAAATGGCTGGGACCAGAAGTGGCAGAAGGAGCAAGAGTCAGGAGTAGACGACAGTTTTGGATTTAATCTTCATGCATTCTGTGTAGCTTGTGTCTTGCAGGAAAGGGACACAAAGCTGATGAATGTCCTTATTAAGAGCCAAGCTCGCCACCGTGAAGCGCCTGGACACAAAGTGATACACCTTGTTTTGTTTTCGCCTCATAGCCCATACTTACATTAATCACATGTTGCTTAAATTAATTATATTTTATAATTTATTGGTGCTTATGTTTGTAGGTCTAGTAATAAAAAAAAAAAAGGGAAAAGCTGGGGCAAAATTTGACAGGCCACTAAAGGAGAAACCCAGTAGGGCAATAAAGATAGGACCAGACATTTCACCTCATCATTAGTCAAGGAAGTGTAAATTGGGGGAAGAGAGAGAGAGAGAGGGAGAGAGAGAGAGAGAGAGAGAGAGAGAGAGAGAGAGAGAGAGGGGAGAGAGAGAGAGAGAGAGAGAGAGAGAGAGAGAGAGGAGAGAGAGAGAAGGAAGGAAGGAAGGAAGGAAGGAAGAGAGGTGAGAGGAGAGGAAGGGAAGAAAAGAGGGAGAGAGAAAAAGGAAAGAAGCAAAGAAAGGATGCTACTTGATGCCAAACTAAAAATCTGCTAAGAGCAAGTATTATCTTACTTGGGAATAATGGGAATTCCTTGTTAATCAGAGTATAAATTGACAAAACAGTATTTTAACATAGTGCCACTTTTTGTGACACAAAACACATTTTGTAACACAGGGTATTGTTCTCTTACACTAATGGATGGGTATATATTTGCAAAAAGTGTGCAAGCATCAGCGTAAAGAATATAAACTATAAGACTGTGACCAGTCTGACAGTAGTAGGGACACAGCCCCCCCCCCGCCAAGCTATAACTCCAATGCTTTGTTTCTCTAAAAAGAACAAAACCAAAAACCCAAGGTTTTGAGCATGTGGGAAAATGTTAACACATTCTAAAGTGATGATGGGTACATGGATGTCACTTATCTGTCTGAGATATTTAATATACTTTTAAATTCTTTGCAAAGATAAACCAGGAAGAAATGAGTGGACAGTTCAACTTGTGACAACCAAAGGGCACATGGGGCGGGACTGAACCTCCCCCTCCCGGGGGTGAGATCTGGTATAAAGTTCACCTCATCTGAGGCTTTCATGATTACAACTGCATGGCTGTCTCTTTTTTCCCTGAGGGGGAAAAGATGACTAAGCCAGCAGACCTTTTTGGTTGGACAGTAAGAGTTTAAGTCTCAGAGCCCGTGGCACACGTCTCACTTACCAATGGTTCTCACTTGAACCACAGCTCTGGCTGTCCAGGAACTTGCATTTGAGGACAGAGCATAGTCACACACATACATGCCCTGGTGGTAGTCATAAATGTCATCCAATAGGATCGAGTCGCTCTTCTCCTCAGAGAGGACTCTTCCGTTCTGGTCCAAAGACAAGAAAGTCAAATATATTTCCTGAAGCAGAGAATTTTTATTCATTTCACTCTAACGGCACCCAGGAAGCGGGTGGGTTGGTTTCAGACAAGGGCATAACCCAAGCTATGAAGACCCGGTACCCACACTATGCTGTGTAATTCTTAGATGAAACAGGAGCCATTTTTCTAATGCAGTGCAAGATGTACTATATGTACAGAGGGGTAGCCAGGCCCGGATCAGCCCCTGAAGAGCTTTCCATCACCTATTTCTCACTTTGTAACTCAGGCCCCTGAGTGTGTTCTAGGGAATGATACTTAAATAAATTTTTAAAAATATATGTGTGTGTGCTTTAGGAAATCGCTATAGATTTTCTGTAAATAAGGGCAATATATAACTTCTCTAAAAAGTGTAACTAGCAAGAGAATAAAATTTAGATAAAAGATATTAAGTAAATAAGCAGATGCACACAAATATTACAAACAATGACTGAAGGTTGAGAAGCAATGATTTAACTCTTACTGGACCCAAAATCAAGTAAGACTTGAAATGTGGTCATCATTGGCCTCTGCTTAATTTAGGATCCCTCAGTGACTTCCATTTCCCCTCAGGATGAATCTTGAAGTCCTTCCCTTTGCCCTCTCTCACTTCCTGTCACTGTCCCACCACCTTTCCCTGCCAGGGGGAGCCCTAAGCCTCTTTGACCCCTGACGGAGCTTCTCCCCCTGTTTCCCTGCAGGCTATGGCTCAAGCTTCAAGAATCAGCCACTTCTGGTCTCCAGGGCAGTGCACAGGCTGCCAATGCTGTGTGTATGATGCAGGGGACGTCCTTCTCTGGAGTTGCTGAAGACAGCCTTGGTGTGTGGACATCCAGTTGTTCCTAGACACACTGAGGAATAAGCATGGCCTTCTCCCAACTGGTTGCAACCCAACTTCAAACCCTTGGGAGTCAGGAGGCCAAGCAGGGCCTCAGCTTACATGGAACAGAGTGCTCCTGGGATATAGTCAGAGCCTTGTGAGATGTGTGGGAGTCAGGGGAAGGTGAGGGTCATTTTAGGAGCATCTGAGGCAAAGGATGTAAAAGAGAGGAATCAAAATATGTGAATGTTTAAAAATTTTTTATTTAAAAAATAAATAAATAAAATAAAAATTTTAAAAATTATTACAGTAAAAGACACATTGCCATTAACACCCCTCACAATGCACTCCCTCACTTAGAACACACTTATCCCATTGTTTTTGCCTCTTTCTGCAGCAGTTCTGGAAGTGCTTTTTCATGAGTTTCCTTACAAGGTGTGAACAAAAATATAGCGAATGCTGTTGCCAAGTGCCATCCAAGGAAAAGGCAGGCTCATAAAAACATGACAGCATGTCCTTATCCACCTAATTCACTGAATCTGGCACTGTGCCACTTCCGGCTCTTCCCCAAAGTCAAAATAACTGTGAAAGAGAAACGTTTTGAGTCAGTCAGGACATGGAGGCAGCTGTAACAGTGCAACTAAAGATACTCATGACAGAGGACTTTCTGAACTGCGGCAGAAAGTGGCAAGAAAGATAAGTACTCGAAGGAAGCAGGAGTATTTTGAGAGAACATAATGGCAATGTGTCTCATAGTAATAAAATTTTGTAAACAAATTTAAACATTATGTTTTTCCAATCACACCTCATATACAAAGACAAGGCCAGGATAAAAGCGTTGATGGATTTTGGAAGTAGACTTGTTTGGTTATTGTCTATCTAGTACACAGTAATCAGAATGGAATCATGAGTTCCTTGTGAATGCTGCATAAATAAGTGAATGTACAAGGAGAAGAAAGATTTTCAAGTGGGAGGGTCAGGTGATCAAACACTTAAAAAATGAATGGCAGGTACATATGGAAACTCATAGAAATTTAAGTGGAGGTGGCCACATTTATGTCAGCCAGGGCAAGGACACAGTAGGAACACCAGAACAAGTGATTATGGCTGTGATCAGATAGGCCAATGTGTCAGCCCTGACTTCCAGCCATAATAAGGTTTCCATGGTGCTTGGCCTTCAAGTTTCCAACCCAAAGTGTCAGCAGTATAACTCTTATAACTAACAGTTGCAAGAAAGAGATAAACAACAAAAATACCAACAGATAAGATTCTGTTATCTCTTTGGAGATAGCAAAATTCTTTCTCATGCATTATCACATGTGATATTTCCAAAGGCTTCTCTGACTTGGTTTGCACAGATTCTATTTCCTTCGTTTTATAAATGAGAAAAGAAAAAAGACTTTAGAGTTCAAATGAAAGCCAATAAGAGAACTGAGACAAAAATTTTTCTGTTTCCTCTCTGGTTGAGGAATTTCCCTTCCACTTTGCCGGCCAACTAGTAGAAGCTGGGACTCCCCCAGTCCATGCGTCTGGTACAGTTCCTGTGACCCAAAGAGTCCTTTGAGTAGGGAGTGAAAAGTGACAGAGGAGGGTCAGACTAGCCAGAGAAGATGGGTGCAAGTAGAAAGAAAAACAAGGGTAAAGCAGACAAGCTAAATATTTACCAGGTGATCTCAAGAATCAAGGGCACTTTAGAAGCAAAGTTAAGAATTCAGGGCGGAAAAAAAGTTAGTCAGAGAGGGTCAATTAGATGGTACTGTTTAGAATAGGAAAGTTGACCTCCATGCCTGTGGGTGTGATATATGCATCCGTAAGTGTACATACGGCTAAAGAAGAGGAATCCAAAGGCAGCAAATGAGCCCAGAGCAGTTACCCATACATACTGTGCCACCTCTTCTTCTAAATATGTTGAAGAGCAGCCTGGTTATTTACAAATGGGCTTTGCATCCATCCGCACTACAACTGGTTATTATATTGGCTGGTGCAAGAGTACTTATGTCCTTGCGAAAAATGGGGTAATGGATACAGTACAATTTGGAAAGGATACATATGTCTATCTGAAGAATCCTCCTCGAGATTTTCTTCAAAAGTTGGGAGTGATTACAGTTGCAGGATTGGTAGGCCTGGTTTCAGAAGAAAATACTCTAGGTTTAAGAAATTGCTTATCTATTAGGACTGGCTACTTTAAGAGGGGCTGTTTGCTATGCTCAGGCAGTAATAATTGCAAAGGTAACAGGAAAAAAAGCATATGCTATAAGCCAGCAAATTTATGAAGCAGTTAAATCATTGTGGACAAAAAGCACCAAAAAAGAATCACTCTCTGAGCCTAAAGGAAACGCTAAGCTAGGGATCTCTGACCAAACAGAGATCCCTGCAGAAACAACTCACATCCTGAAACATTCAGTGCCTTTGACAAAAGGAGTCAGTTCTGGAACAATGATAAAATGAGAACCCACCTCAGGTGTTACCTACCCTGTTTATGCCTGACCCCAAACTCATGGATCATGGGCAGTCCTATCCAGAAGAGGAAGATATGTACAGCACTAGAAGCTGAAATAGACTGCATAAAGAACTACAAAATATGGGAAGTTGCAAATGATAATGAAAAAAATTATGCAATGGGCTACTGACATACACAATATAACTTAAATCAAGATTTCCCTTCATATCTTCCAATATACAGTTTGATCAATCAGGGAAGCGATTAACACACAAAGTCTGAATGCAAGCCAAATAATATTAAATGATTGTTTAAATGATATATGAAGTATTAGTTCACATTTGATGAGTTGCAGTGATTTATTAGAAACCAAATAAGCAACAATAAACACCAATGAGATTAAAATCTGAATGTATATATGTATTTTTTTACATATATATTTATATATGGTTTAAAGTTTCAAAAATTAATGCCAATTAATTTAGAATGATTTATGAAAGGACATGTTCTTTTTTCTTCCATTTCTCTGAGCTGGAACAAAATATCCAAGTGTTATGACCAAAAAAAAAAAACAAAACAAAACAAAACAAGCATTCAGGTGGATTCAGGGTTAAACTTTTAAAGAGCACAGTAATGACAAAGCCCAGAATGAGTGTGGGGTGAGGGATAAGTTGTCGCAGAAGCAATGCCACAGGACCTCAGCTGAGCCACTGGAGATGATGTGTAAGGGGAAGTAGCCTCGGGTTTTAATCAATAAAGGGGTAAGTACAGCTTAGTGTGCATCATTAAGACTTTATAAGATAGAACTCAAAGAAAACGTGAAGAAAAGAAATTAGGAAAAAGGAGTTTAGGCCACTGATGATAGGAAACCCACCAAATAATGCAACCACAGATTCCAGTAGGAAAGATAGAGGCTCAGGTAGATGCTCAGAGAGATTTGTCTTGCTCTTGAAGCTCTATTTTGACAGGACCCAGTCATGAAATATGTGGCTTAGAAGGGTCTATCTCCCTCCTACTCCCTTGACCTCTCTCTGCTTCCTGTGTACCCTGCCATGGACTGTTTCTCCTCTGCAAGGCACCTCTGCCATACCACGTCCCCTGAAGCCAACTGACTATGTACTGAAACCTGTAAAACTGTGAGCTAAAGTAAAACTCTCTTCCTTTGATTTGTGGATGTCAGATATTGTGTCTCAGCAAGAAGAAAGTAACTAAGTGTGCAAAAACAAGTAAATAAATAAAATCCTGAAGACGTTACATGGTATGTGTCAATCAAGAAGAAGAGCAAAGTTCTTCTTACTACCCCTCATTGGGGTAGTTGTTGTAATTTTATACTACAGTGTTATAGTATAGTAGTTATTATAATTTTAGACTATAGTGTCATGAAGCTCTACTACTTACCAGGCAGTACTGGGGAGCACCATGCCCACAGAATGATTCCATGGGAGTGATACTCCCTGAAAGTAGGTAACACATTGGAATTCCCACCTGGGGTTCTACCATCCTTTGTTGGGAGGACAGGATTCCAGGATTTTGGCTTCAAAATCCTTCAGCCCTATTCTATATGATGGATTTTAGGTTTTCATTGTCTGTTTCAATGTTTAAAACATCATAAACTCACTGTGTCCAGATCTGTACACATCTCCGCAACCCCTAATCAAATCAACTTCACCTTTCTCCAACTTGGTAAATACTGCAAATATATTTTGAGCTA